GTAGGAGTATGTAGAATATCCAACAGAGTCAGAAAAGGAACAGCGTCCAGAAAATCAAGCTCCTCGTCACTTGAGGCAGTGCTAGGAAAGTAGAAGATATTTTCAAAAAAGAAGACATCGACCCTCACATAGATTTTACTGGTGATAAGATCAAAACACCCATAGCCTTTTTGAGTGGCTGAAGAGCTAAGAAAAACATATTTAATTGAGCAAGGATCAAGGGTTGTGTTCCGAACAAAGCCGTGCACCCAAATATTTTGAGATTCAATGTGGAAAATAATCGATTGGTAGGAAAATACGGCATCAAAACGGATAACGAGGACTGAAAGTTGTGAATTCTTATGGGAACCCTGTTAATGAGATGGGTGGCTGTAAAAACGTCATCATTCCAAAAACGTTTAGAAACATTAGTTTGAAATAAACTAGAGCAAGCCACTTCGAGAAAGTGTCAGTTTTTTTACTCGGCTATCCCATTTTGTTTAGGGTATTCGTATAGGAGCTATGATGGAGGATGCCCTTACCATGAATTCTCCCAATATAGAGTTAAGTACTTACGACCATCGTAGGTCTGAAGGACTTAAATGAAGGTTCTAAATTGGATCAAAATGAAGGAGTGGAAATTTTTTGAGGTGACTGTAGCTTCTGGTTTTTCCTTTAATATATAGACCCAATTCACTGAGTGTGTTCATCAATTAGAGTAAGTAACACTGTTTATTAGTGTAGGTTGTTGTTTGACAGGTTCCCCATAAATCATTATGAATCAGTGAAAATGGAGAAGAAGCAGTGTGACTATTGGATGGATACATTACATGATGATGTTTAGCTAAATGACAAATTATAGATTTAAAAGTAGATGAACTTTTATCAATAAAAATATCAGATGGTACATTTTTTTTAATAGGGAAAATTGGGATGCCCTAAGAGACAATGTAAAAGCATAATTGGACAAGCAGGGAAAAACTACAACTATGAGAATGAGTGTATGCGTCATCACTGTCATTTTATTGGAAAAAGTAGAGCCCAGCTACACATTTAGTAGTTTCAATCATCCACCCCAAACGACGACCCTGAAAGTCACAAACATCGGGAGAAAAATGAACAACGCAATCAAGATCATATGTCAACTTATTGATCGATAAAATGTTACACTTAAGCGAAGTTATGTGCAACACGTATTCTAGAGTCAGCCCGGCTAGTAGTAAAACCTACCACTTACCCGCAATAGAATTACAGGAGTCGTCGATAATTTAAATAATGTCTTGCTCGGAGCACAGAAAATATGTTAAGAAGAACTGAGAGCACCCAATAACGTGGTCTATAGAATCTGAATCAATAATCTACATATTAGAATAAGCAAAACCAGTGAGTGCTATAAAATGTTACCTTAACGAACATAGGAGGTCGACGGGCTAGAGGTGAACTGACTAGATCCAAGTAGTTTAATTAAGTGTTCCATCTAACTCTTGATGAAGTCTGATGATCTGGCTACATTAAGAAGTTCTGGTGGTCCTGGAAGGAGATCTGACTTGCAAGAGGGAGGTACGGCAGCGGGACAGCCAGCCGGAAAGAATACTGGCGATTGAAACCTGCAGGGGTTAGACCGTAAAGACGGAATCCAACAGATAAAAAATCTACAGGGGAAGGCCTACAGGGAAGTTCCAACGACTAAGGTAATATCCCGACGACTAGCGTAAGATTGGTGACTCTGATGCCATGTAGGTTTTGGGAATTGAGCAGGACAATATTATTGTTGTTGAAATGGGTATAAAAACAGGTTACAATGATTCTAAAATAGAAAAAAATATAATACTCAAATTTTTCTCTAATAACTACTCCATGATAAAAAGAAAGTCATAAACTAGAAAATAAAACAAAGAGGAAATAACCGGAAAGGAAACTAAATAATTTCTAACAAATTTCAATTACTAGGAGGTAGGGCATATCACTACTCACACCACAATAAAAAAACAGCTGCATTAAGAAGTTCTAGTGGTCCTGGAAGGAGATCTGGCTTGCAAGAGGGAGGTCCGGCAGCGGGACAGCCAGCCGGAAAGAATACTGGCAGTTGAAACCTGCAGGGGCTAGACCGCAGAGACGGAATCCAACAGATAAAAAATCTACAGGGAAAGGCCTGCAGAGAAGTTTCAGCGACTAAGGGTCCGTTTGGGGCAGCTTATAAGTGCAGGCGGCGTTTTCAAAACGTCGTTGTACTGTTTGGTTCGCGCGTTTCGCCAGCTTATCCGAAACTGTGTTTGAGTTTTTACACTAACCGCGGCCCGCGGGTCGATCGCAGACCGCGTTCCTGAAACGCACAAGCTGCCCCAAACGGACCCTAAGGCAATATCCCGACAGCTAGCGTAAGATTGGTGACTCGGATGCCATGTAGGTTTTGGGAATTAAGCAGGATAATATTATTATTGTTGAAATGGATATAAATACAGGTTACAATGATTCTAAAATAGAAAAAAATATAATACCCAAATCTTTCTCTAATAACTACTCCATGATAAAAAGAAAGTCATAAACTAGAAAATAAAACAAAGAGGAAATAACCGGAAAGGAAACTAAATAATTTCTAACAAATTTCAATTACTAGGAGGTAGGGCATATCACCACTCAAACCACAATAAAAAAACAGCTACAATGTCAGTACAAAAAGAACAGCATGGCACTGAGCACAACATAGTTCTGATATAACAATGGGGAAATAAGACATTATTTCAAGTTATATCAAGAAAGTTATAATTATAGGTCCATGAAGGACTACATCTGCTATCTCATTCCAACAGCATTTGAAGCGAGCATTCCAATTTTACTTGTCGATTCATATGGGATGCCAAAGTACTAATGTTTGCAAAATGACAAGAATCTAAGCTATGAAATGAATCATTAGTGAAGGAACAACTGCATTTCTGGTGACTTTTATCAATTACAAGAAAATCTTATGAATTTTATAAATAAGTTCAATGACATAAACAAGATTTCACTACATAGTTAAAACAAAAAAAAGACATGAAATTAAAAAGAAATTTTTACAATAAATCGAATGAGTATGACATTACCAGCTTATTACATGCAAATTTAATTTCAAGAAAATAACACAAATGTTAGGCAATGCTTAATTGGGATGAGTGAAAAGAGAATGATGATGACAACAATGATGACATGAAATTAACCAATCATGCTGTCAGGATAACACTTTGGTGTCATAAACCTGTCCATGAAAAGGTGCATTTCACTTAGTAAGTAATAGAGGTATTTTTTTTATTTGATGTTCAAGATTTAAAAGCTATGCATGCAGATATGAAAGTTTAGGTGTTAGATATGTACATAGATAATAATTGTGTTATGTATGTAAATGCCCCAAAACAAGACCAGACCAATAATCTCTTTTCACATATCTTTTTTATTTTTTTTAAATATTTCAGCTGCATTCTGCTCTTCCTCTACAAAAAAAAGATGCATTATTTCTTTGTGCAAATGCTTTATCATGGTTAAGTGAAAAAGCTAGGCAGCTATGCAGATAGGGATTAGCACAATTATGCCCCATTCATCTTCAACGGGCTAGAAACAGAGGGTTTAAAGATATTAGCACTGATGCACATGCATGAAAAGTATAATTAGAAAATCTTTTGAAAAATGAAATATTTCAATATTCTAGCTCTAAAATGAAACTGAATGCATTAAGATTAGAAACATAACAAACATTAGATTAGTTTTATAAATAATCCATAAGAAGTAAAGATGTCAAAGAGAAAAACATTTATATAAATAAATAATTAATAAAGTTAGAAACAAATCATAGAAACCAGATGATTTGCATGTTAGAAGTAAAGATATCACAGAGAAAGGCAATATCACGAAATTCACCATTTATTTACTAGCAAAGCTTTTCTATCATTCCTTTTCAAAATAAAATTACTTTAAGATCAGTTGTAAATCATCGGCACGAAAAGAAACCTGAAATTTTTTGGATGCAATAATGATATGTTATAAAACATTTAAAAGGCTCACATCTTTCATCAACAATATTATATTTTTATTATTTTTTTATTTTTATATCATAATGTACTAGGTAAAGTATGTTCCAAATATTCAGTTTGACTAAAAAAAAGAAGAAGAAAAGGAAAAAAAAAACTTTTGAAGTATTTTAATACAACATTTATATTTGAATAATACTTTTGAAGTATTTTAATACAACGTTTATATTTGAATAAGAAATATTTAATCCTAACCAGATGAGCAAGGCGGGTAGGTGGCACGGATGACATTCATTAGGCTCTATTGGACCTAATGTCATCCAGCTAAGGAAATTAAAAAAAACAGAGAAATGACCAATGAAAATCTTCTGGGGCGGTTAAAAAAGATTTTAACCAGATTTAGCCTCCATCTTGCCGAACAGAGCTTCAAGGACTTCAAATTCTAGTGCTTTGATGAATAAATTACGATTTTCATCGCATAATCCGTTTAGGAAACCCAGCTGTTACCAGTCAATAAACTCTAGATTAGCTGATGAAGAAAGTCTATTAAAAAAAGAACAGAAGGCGAGCAAACCAGGAACATCAAACCATTTCTACAATTTAGTCAAACGCTCTTTAAATAGACAGGATAGAGCAACAAAACTTCAATCCCTGGGCCGAAAAACATTCCGTGAAGTGCGACAAGAACATCGACACTTTTTTCTGTTGATTTTTACAGCGGGGAGCACAAATACAATCATGGCAATGCATCTGAGGTTGGAAGGGAGACAACCCCTCAACCACCTAGCCTAATGCTTCATAACTAAACAAGCTACCGCAGTAAAATCTTAATCCCTCCAGCAACAGAAACGACTGAAAAAGACATAAATCCAGAACCACCTCAATCATAGCTTTCTCCACCACAACAGCAACCGAACGCTATCTAAGAAAAAACTAGAAGACTTCCAAAAATTACTGAAATACGAACAAAAGCAACAGAAAATTGAAATGAAGTTGAAAGAAACTCAAAAAAGGAATTACCGGCGCAAAGCGTGATGAACCAGACGTGGATGAATAATCTGTACGGAATGCCGCGGTTCTTCTCCTTCCACTGATCTAGCTCGCAACCAGAGCAGCCTTCGTAGTACAAGCGCTTGAGAAGAGGTTCCCCGTTATCCGCCATTGCTGAGTCTGGAGAACTCGGGGAAGAGAGAGCGCGCTCTAAAATGGGAGCGTTGGCGAGGGAAGAGAAGTTCGCATACGACTGTAAGAGGCTGAGAGTTAGCAGTCAAAATGGCATGGCCTTCCTCTGCCTTAATTATATCGCATCACTTGGCTCGTCACCTTTTGGCAGTGTCCCCATGTGATAAATTTTGTGCTTTCTTAATAATTGTAACAGTTGAGGTTTTAAGCACCTACCATCTACAATAAATATGTTTACATCATACATATTAAAACTCTAATATTTACGGTATTAATCACTCAAAAAATTACCATGACCTCAAAATAGCCATTATCACTTGCCTCATCCATCATCCTTCACTCATCCATCACTTGGAAGGTAATAATCTTTTCTTCTTCTTTTTCCTTGATGTGTTGCTGCAGCCTTTCTCATTTGCTCGATCGCACCGACTTCACTTCCTATAAATCGAGGCTGAGAGGGTAGAGTTTTGTCTCACACATCTCTCAATCACACACTTCAGTGGTCCTATATCCTATAAATTTTTTAACCGGTTTCTTAACCCAGGTTTTAAGGCAAACCGAAGGAAAAATGGGATTTTTTTTTCTTTTTTCTTCCCCTTCAAGACAAAAACAAGACATTATTTTAGATTAATATTCAAAGCCTCTTCCTTTTTTATATATATACATACCTACATGCAAATAATAATAAATTAATAATATGAAAAATATGAATACTAAACGTTCTTAAGTTACACCTAATTTATTGGTAAAAATTAAATGCATAACTAATCTTATTTTCAAATTAGAGTAGGATCGATAGTTTAATCGTTCGATCGCACCGACTTCACTTCCTATAAATCGAGGTTGAGGGGTAGAGTTTTGTCTCGCACATCTTGCAGTCGCACACTTCAGTGGTCCTAAATCCTATAAATTCTTTAACTGGTTTCTTAACCCAGGTTTTAAGGCAAACCGAAGGAAAAATGGGACTTACGAATATATAAGATTTATGTTGTTATTTTTAGGGATAGGTGTGATGCAAGTAAATCTCTGAAAATTTTATTTAGAAATCTTTTTTTTTTTTTTCCTTTTTCTTCCCCTTCAAGACAAAAAACAAGGCATTATTTTAGATTAATATTCAAAGCCTCTTCCTTTTTTATATATATACATACCTACATGCAAATAATAATAAATTAATAATATGATAAATATGAATACTAAACGTTCTTAAGTTACACCTAATTTATTGGTAAAAATTAAATGCATAACTAATCTTATTTTCAAATTAGAGTAGGATCGATAGTTGAATCGTTGAATTCGTAGGAGTATCGCTTTTTGTCACCTCGATGTAAGTAAATGATGTTTATTAGTTGATAAACATTTATTTCTTATTTATGAGTGTTAGTCATTTTCAATTGTAATAGATTCATAGTTATTCTATAGGATTGTTACTCATGCCCTTGTTATTTCATTTTTATACTTACTATAAACTTTAGTTATTGTCCATGTCGACATCAAAATACATTTTAATTTATTGTTGCAACCAGTCCTGGATATTTTACTTAATCCTTCAGTTACGATGTTCTCTTTTTCTTCATTTATATAAATTTACATATATCATATCATAAGTCTGAATGAAATATTATAAATTTAACATATTATATCTGTGAAAATAATTTGGCATGTTTTTGCGTGATGGTATGTCGATCAGTAGAACCCTTTTGGATTTTGCGCTATGGCCCACAGAGTGACGGCTCTATAGAAAATCACGCGGGTTTTCTTGAGTTGGTATTTAGAAAAATATAATAATAAGAAACTTGATTGTGTGTTTTCTTATGATATTTTTGAAATATTTGGTTTACGACTCTTTTTGTTTCATGATATAATATATGCACGAAGTACTTGTCTATATTTGTTGTTCATACTGCATGCCACATTTCCCTTGTCATTTATGTTTTAATAAATAGGTGTCATTTATTGAGTTTGTTTGTGAAACTCAATCTTTGATATTTTTGCAAAACAAACTCTATTTAGCCACTAGTAGGAGCATCTCAACCAGAGCAAAGCTTTTTAGTTCTAATTTCCTCATTTTGGTATTTTTCCTCAGTATTTGTTTTAACTATTGTATTTTTTTTCTATGTTCGGCCTGAGTAGTGTTCCATGTTATTGTATGAGTTTGATTTAGACCATTTCCATGCTTTTCTTACAATTTTATTAGTGGATTATTCATTATGTAATAAAATATACATTTTTTTTTATTTGCAATGCAAGTTTTTCTTTGAGAAAACAAAATAGACTAAATTTATTTCATCATGCCCTGCATCATCGGAGTATGTTGTCTTTCGAACTCGAGGGGTATGACACGCAAGCTCTTCAACCGGCATTGTCTTTTTCCATCTCAAGTGTCTTTACTGACTTGAGTTCCCTTGTATCAATTTTCGCATGGAAAGTTCACCTCCCTTGCTCACAAGGTATTGCACATAAGATAATGATAACTATCATGTAGAAAGCTCCCAGAGTATGATATTTTTATTTATCGTATTTAGTAAAATTTTGTTAAAAGGTTTCATTGGAATTTCTTCATTTTTGTACTCATCGCCAACATTTAATTTATAATCGAAATGACTAACACCCATCTTGTCTACTTTACTTGATAAGAGGTCATAACAAACATTTAACTTCATGTTGGCTTTATCTTGAAGGGGCCCTAGTTGGTGGATCTAGGAGTTAGAGGAACAAGCTATGGTTTTCTTAGTGCCCCGCTCTTCTTCTCCCCTCCCTCGTTTCTTTGTTTTCATCAATTTAAACCCTTTCCTTTGCATTTTTCTGGGGTTTCTTTTAGGTCGAGGGGCTTTTCCCCTCTATCTCTATGGTTATGGATAAATTTCCCCCTCTCCCCTCTTCAAACTCTGGTTCTATCTATTGTCATCACCCATCCTCAACTTGGAAAGGGCTCCTAATCTCTCAAAACCCTAGCTTTGCTGCCTTTAACCTACCTAACATCCTCTCTTTTGAAGATAAATTTTCTTCTCTGAAGCTAAGGTTGAAGAAGACTCACAGCGATGGAATCTGGCTCTTGTGGGCTATGCATTTGGTAAGCATTCTTTTCACGATAATTTGCTACAAAGTATCTCCAAGCTTTGGAAACTAAAAGGTGTGATCGATCTTATCTCGCTAAAGGATTTTTCTGTTTAACGTTTCTTGTGTTAGAGATCTTAGTGTGGTTTTGGAAGGTGGTCATTGGTTTCTTAATGAAAAGCCTTTTACATTTAAAAAATGGACAATTACCAAATCTACCTTTATTCCTTTGGTCTGAAAAAGGGATCTCAATGATTGGAAGCAAGATTAGTTTGTTAATTGTTGTAGACCCTCTCAATGTTAAGGGAACTAGACTAACCATTGCCAGAGTTAATGTCCAAATCCATTTTAAGTCTGTCCTACCTGACCCTATTACCATCTCTATTAATGATAATGACATTGTTCAACATATCTTATCCGAACGGAAACCTAACCCGTGCCAAACCTACAAAACATTTGCACACGACCATGGTTCCTCTCCTGAATCCTTAATTTCCACCCCACCTCATTCTCCCCCTAAATAGAGGTAGGAGTCTCTCTAAGAGGAGTTCTGCAGCCCCAAACTTCTGAAGTCTAAGCTATATTAGACCTAATACGCCCACCATGAATTCCTTCATTCCTCCCCCACCAAATCCTCCCATCAAAGATGCAAAGGTTGAGGAGGTTATACCGTCAAGGTGGTTGATCGAAGTCCAGTCATTACTCGAGAAGAAGCTCTCTTCGTCACGAAGAGATTCTGATGACGCTCTGAGTACCGCCCTCCACCCCCCTCAAGTGATGAAGCTCTCCTTGCAAGGAGTTTTCCGGCATCGGCGCAACATCATGCCTTGTTCTTCCTCTCTGTTTTTCAGACCAAAATGTTGACCAAGGAAAAACATTTGAGCGGAGAAGTAGGTATGAAAATGGAAAAGAGGAGGGAAAAAGAAGAAGAACATAGTAGCTAACTCCCCAAGCACTCTTTTGATTACTTCTTAAGTTCTTTGTATCTCCCCTTTGTTTCTCAGACCTGAATGGTGACCAAGAAAGAAAATATGAGAGGAGGAAGAAGTAGGGTGAAGAAGCTCTCCCAGGACTCTCCAAAAACTCTCCCCCAGCTCTCTGTGAACGCTCCTAGGCCTCACAAGTGAAATGAGCTTGATATCGCTCAAATCTCCCCCACAGGAAGGATATTCAGCTTCAAATGACTACTTGCCTCTTTTAGCAAGTGCCCAAATTAGCTTAGAGGTCATTTTTTGTTTAGAATCGGTCCAACAACTTGTCTCAGTGGTTGGAAGGAGTCTAAACATAAAAATAGGAACCAAGCAATGAAATGAATCAAGACAGGCAGAAAATGTGGCATGGCCACACCACAAATGGGGTATGGCCACCCCTGGGTGTGGTCACGCTCGCATGGGTGTGGTCGTCCCTAGCCTACTTGAGGCTAGTTTCCTATATTTGATGGTTTAAGCCGCGTGGCAAGATCTAGAAGTCCCTCTCTAAGCAAAAATGATGTTTCATACGCATCTGTGAGGAAGTCAATTTAGCTCTTAATTTCTTCGTGTTGCACCGAACAAAACTCTTCTAGTCATGGTCATCCCATCAATGTAATGGTGGTCTACCTTCACCTCATCGACATCCAAAGCCCAGTAAAATGATCCTAGCCACTTGCCAAAGGATCAAAGATGGATACCTCGAGCCTCGGGGAATGAAATGTGTGTGAATCATACCCTAAGATTGTTCAAGTAGACATCTTACGTTCGTGACATAAAAAAATGATGCCAACAGAAATATGGGTCTGAGCTTGAAATTTTTCACTGAACATAAGTTTAAACATGTTTTTTCATGGCACATGAGTCTAAGCATGAAAATATTCATAGAACCGACTAAGCATGAATATTAACATAACTAGATTGATTTTTGCATTAAACATAAACATAATTTCAAGAATTTTTGCATGAAACATAAACATAACCACATGAACTTTTGCATAAAATATAAACATAACCTTATTAAATTTTGCGATAAACATAAATATAACGAGAAGCTAGAGTTAGGGTTTAAGTTCATGAGAAGAGAGAGAGGGAGAGGGC